CGAGCAGTGAATTCATTTGAATTAAACATTTGAATAAACTCTCAGTGTGAACACTGAGCATGGATGCACCAAATGTCAAATGCGGCTTGACAAGCACAATCTAAATTAAAACTAAATAAGTATCTGCCCTCACCCTTACAGTCACACTGTCAATATATAATTAGTTGAATATATTCTGTAACATTAAGTGCAGTTTGAATTATACAGTATGATCACTATGATAGATAGTAGGACTGTTGAAATTACATCCTCAAATTTAAAAAAATAAAATATAAAGCTGTGGGGATTTACAAGGTAAACAGAGAGCGTCTGAACTGTAAAACAGATAATATATCGGTGTGTCTGTGTATTTCTAATAACATCAATGTTTGTCACTGTCATGTATTCAGTAGTGTAAATTTTAAGTAATAAAAATATTCTAACCTTCATTCCAATGGTCCAAGCCAATCATACATTAAAATGTCGCCGTCAGCTCTTTCATCACTCGATACAATTATCACTGGGGAATCCGAAGCAGAGTCAAGAGTGTTCATCCTTGTTAATGTGACAGTCAGAATTTCCTCGTAAACAATTCACACAAGATTCTTAGAATATATGAATAGGGATAATTCTGCTTAGAATAATGTTCCAGAGAAGTGACAAAGTACTTCGTAGCTGCAGATTAAATGTGTGTACATGTCTACAAACGGATTCTTTGTGAGAAAATGTTCAACTTCACAAATCATTCTATTTTCAGTTTGTAAACCATGGCAAACATGTGGCCGACGTCGACTCGAAGGGGCACACTAAAAACGGGATATACTAGAGACCTGATATTTACCTGACGTTTTAATTTTTAATTAAATGGTAATATTGAGTATTTTAAATTACTTATGTACAGACTTTATGACTTCGAGGCATATGCTATACAAAAATTCAATTGTTTGGAACATTTACAGACAAATTTGAATCAGGTCAAATCAGTGTTTAGTACATCGCGTCTTTAGTACCTTCCTATTTCCCACAATGCCGCGCGTTGTTTACAAAACAAGCGCGAAAAAATCCTCTAAACTAGGTACTAATTATTGTTGTGTACATCATCACATTTTAAAATTATTTGAATAAAAAGAAAACAAAGAAACACCGAATCAAAACTATATCTTTTAGATGCATCAACTAAAAATGTGCACATGTATGCAGTAAAGGCTTGGCTGGCTATAGTAGACAACTTGTTCCTGAAAGATTTCTCACATACATGTACTTGTTTTATAAAAAAAAAACGATTAAATATAGCTGGAATTTTATTTCTTTTTATATCAAATGACAAGATTTTATTAGTTCGAAATTATTTCAGTCAAACTTTTTCATAATATACCAATATTTTTAGCTATCAGAAAAAAGCGTGTATGAGCTTTTAACCCCTAATTATAGGGGCCAGCCCCTTTTCGTTAATCAAATATGAAAGCTCTCGTAATTACCCACAACTTTTGTTCTATATTTCTTACCAAATTATTCTCGGTTTAAAAGTTATAACACAAAAAGTAGCAAAAATTCAAAGAAAAAAAATTACTAAAATTTGCCGTTTTATAGCTTCCAAACTTTAAGAAATCAGCTATATAATTTTATCGTTGTGCACATCTACAATGTATTGGCTACAAGTTCTCCAACTTTCATGTAAATATCTTATGTCATTTTTGAGATTTTCAGTGGAAACGAGACATCAAAAATTTTCAATTAAAGGGCAATAACTCACAAATAAAGGCATGCATAAAAAAACTGAAAACAGGTTTAAATAGGTTTAACTACAAGCTATCTATCCTGAAAGTTTCATAACGATCAGTCCAAAGGTCTTTGAGAAATCGCCTGTCAAAAGTCGAGCGGGAAAAAAAAAAAAGAATAATAAGAAACAATAGAATAACAGTAGGGTCTTCCGAAGGAAGCGGAAGACCCTAAAAAGAATAATAACTAGAAAGTCTGCTATTGCAAGCAATAGCATATGTCGCCCCGTACTGGACAAGACTTTCATTTTTATCATCACTAAAACAATGGTCCATTAGCTAAGCTTGGACAACCATCGAGTCGTATCAGTCCTTTTCGTTGGAAACGGAAGACCTTAATTGGGTACATCCCACTAATTATTTTTAGAATCGGTAGGAGAAGAAAGTAGTGCAGGAAAAAATAAGAAGTTCCTAAATTTGCAGACTTGCATAAAAGAAATTGGGCAGATGTTCTGAACTGAGCCTCATACTTGTTCATTGGTAGTATCTTTCCTAACAAAAAAGCTTGGCAAATGTAATTTATTAAGAAGATCAGCCGAATTATTTTGTGCATTATAACGCCAGTGAGAACTGTGAAATTTCCCTACTTTCACTTTAATTTTTAGAGGTTCTGCCGGAAAACGAATCTGACATGCCACCTTCAATTCGAGCATTTCTGCATTACACAGGGCTGATGTTTCTTATGAGATGATAAATCATGTGTAAACTTTTTCAGTTTAGCGGAATCATGAACATTTTCGGCAAGATGAATGTTTTGTTTACAGTAGTGATCAAGGCTTTGCGCACCTGTAGGAGCGGATCCAAGGATTTATGAATGAATAAAAACTATGGAAATAACGTACCAATTTTCTAATTTATACTTGCACTATCTAATGAAATGAATAATATACAAGTAAAAGATATACAAGAAAACGCGAAATGCTAATAAATGCAGCTGACAATCGATATTTTTTTATATAGTTAAAATAAAATAATTATAAAATCTAGAGACAAGACAGAAGAAGAATGAATGTTGGCAAACTATCAAATCACATCAGGAGAACTGAATTTTATGAATGAAACTTTTAGAACGTTACTTGTAAGTTGTATATGTTATATCTGTGTGTTTTACCTGGCAGTGCGCTTCAAAAGGGGGGGGGTCGTCTTGAACATAGCACCTTACGTTTGAACGGTAAGGGCTAGGGCTTCCGTATTTCAAATATGTAATCCTTGTGAAAAGAACTTTTATTGGACACGAAGAACTTTGACCCTTTGACCTAGACCTTGGAGAACACATGTGTACATCTTAACCTTTTTTTCTGTTTCGTTTCTATGACAACTGTGAGCGACTCATTACAATTATTTAAAAGGTAGAAATCACTTTGACACATTGCAAGGAATTAACATTGAAAGTTTCAAAACGATTGCTTGAGTAGTTATTGAGAAAATCGAAATTAAAAAAATTTAACATTCCTCTGGTTTCCATGGCAATAATCGATATTTTGAAAATTTTAAATGCAAGTCGCACAACTACAGATACTAATCATTAAAATAAAAAAAGTTTCATGACGAACGTATAAGGGACCAGAGAGAACACTCGCGGACAAAATCCGTCGCTTTTTACAGGTTTCCATGGCAACGGTAGACATATTGGAACTGAACGACCTCACTGCACAACTACAACCAGAGATCGTCCTTTGAGGAAAGTTTCAGGAAGATTGTCCGAGCCATCTCCGAGAAACAGCCTGGATAAAAAAAAAAAACATGCGTACAATATCAATATGTCGTCCCCGACTTCGTTCGGGGCGACATAACTAGAAAGTCTGCTATGGCAAGCAATAGCATATGTCGCCCCGTACTGGACAAGACTTTCATTTTTATCATCACTAAAACAATGGTCCATTAGCTAAGCTTGGACAACCATCGAGTCGTATCAGTCCTTTCCGTTGGAAACGGAAGACCTTAATTGGGTACATCCCACTAATCATTTTTAGAATCGGTAGGAGAAGAAAGTAGTGCAGGAAAAAATTACAAGTTCCTAAATTTGCAGACTTGTATCAAAGAAATTGGGCAGATGTACTGAACTGAGCCTCATACTTGTTAATTGGCTGTATCTTTCCTACCAAAAAAGCTTGGCAAATGTAATTTATGAAAAAGATCAGCCGAATTATTTTGTGTATTATAACCCAGTGAGAACTCTGAAATTTCCCTACTTTCACTTTAATTTTCAGAGGTTCTACCGAAAAACGAATCTGACATGCCACCTTCAATTCGAGCATTTCTGCATTGCACAGGGCTGATGTTTGTTACGAGATGATAAATCATGTGTAAACTTTCTCAGTTTAGCGGAATCATGAACATTTTCGGCAAGATGAATGTTTTGTTTACAGTAGTGATCAAGGCTTCGCGCACCTGTAGGAGCGGATCCAAGGATTTATGAATGAATAAAAACTATGGAAATAACGTAAAAATTTTCTAATTTATACTTGCACTATCTAATGAAATGAATAATATACAAGTAAAAGATATACAAGAAAACGCGAAATGCTAATAAATGCAGCTGACAATCGTTATTTTTTTATATAGATAAAATAAAATAATTATAAAATCTAGAGACAAGACAGAAGAAGAATGAATGTTGGCAAACTAGCAAATCACATCAGGAGAACTGAATTTTATGAACAAAACTTTTAAAACGTTACTTGTAAGTTGTATATGTTATATCTTTGTATTCTACCTGGCAGTGCACTTCAAAAGGGGGGTCGTCTTGAACATAGTACCTTACGTTTGAACGGTAAGGGCTAGGGCTTCCGTATTTCAAATATGTAATCCTTGTGAAAAGAACTTTTATTGGACACGAAGAACTTTGACCCTTTGACCTAGACCTTGGAGAACACATGTGTACATCTTAACCTTTTTTCTGTTTCGTTTCTATGACAACTGTGAGCGACTCATTACAATTATTTTAAAAGTAGAAATCACTTTGACACATTGCAAGGAATTAACATTGAGAGTTTCAAAACGATTGCTTGAGTAGTTATTGAGAAAATCGAAATTTGTTGATGATAATCTTCCTATATGTGACGTTAAAGTGCATGTGACATTAAGTAAATGTTTCTATTATGACGTCATCTTAATTCTGACGTCATGGTAACGTGAATAATCAGTCTAGATAAACAAGTCAACGTGATTAGAGGTGTTTTTCATTCTATCTGACTCAACATTTGGTGCCGTGACCATTGGGAAGGTATTAGCAAACTAGAAATGGATGTAATCAAGTTAAAGGCGCAGCGTTCAGGCCATCGTGGAGTAATTACCAAAATTTTGAGGAGAATTTCTGAAATTGAAGATGAAAATGGAAAAGCTGAAATGATCAAGGTACTGGAAGAGAATTGGGACACATTAGAAAAAATCAACAGTGAAATTCTACAAGAACTAGAGAAAGAAGAAGAAAATCAAATGGAGATCGAAGATTCAGATGAGTACATAATAGAATTAAGACTTAAATTAGCAGAATTGACAAAGAATGGAAAGGCTTCTGATAATCTTAATCAATGTACATCCAGGAATTTAAATGTAAATGCACCACAGTTCATTCCAAGCAGTGAATCATTAGAACCCAACATAGGGAAACTTAACATTCATAATCATAAACTGCCGAAATTAAACCTGCCAGTTTTTTCGGGAGATTTACTTCAATGGCAAACATTTTGGGATTGTTTTGAGTCAAGCATCCATGGGAAGAACAGTTTGTCTAATGTTGAAAAATTTAGCTATCTACGATCGCTGCTATGTGGGGAAGCCCTTCGCTCTGTGTCAGGATTCAGTTTGACCAATACCAACTACAGGCAAGCAATAGATGTTTTATTTGAGAGATACGGACAGAATCACAAAATCATTAATGCCCATATCCAGAGTTTGATTGATTTACAACTTCCCAAGCCTAGTCCTGAAAGTTTGAGAAACTTCTTTGACAAAATGGAATGCTACATTAGAGGATTAGAAACCCTAGGAACTGATGAGACCACCTTTGGGACAATTTTAACTCCAATGATATACAACAAACTACCAGCAGAAATTCGGAAGAACATTACCCGGGACAAAGGAGATGATCAATGGGAACTGCATTCACTGAGGAGAGCCATCAAGAAGGAGCTATGTGTTCAAGATGCTGGACAGGCAGTGCAGTCAAAACAGGAAACCCAGGAATTCATTCCAACAGCTAACTTTGTTGCAGGATCGAGTCATATAAGGAATAACAAGCAGGAAAATTACGTGAAGCAATGCTTATTCTGCAATGGAAATCATTCACCAATCAATTGCCGTAATGTCCAAGACTATGATAAGAGAATATCAATCATCAAACAGAAGAGAGTCTGCTTTAATTGCTTTGGAAATCACAAAGTAAGTGAATGTAAATCAAATTTCAAATGCAGGAATTGCAAGAAGTCTCATCACACAAGTATTTGCAAGAATTCGCATCTACCTCAAAGTTCCTCAGAGAGAGATGTCACAAAGTCAGAGAGCACGCAATCGAATCAACCAACTCAACGAGAGCAGTCGTTCCAGCTTCATTCTTCAACACAGGTGACAACCAAAACTGAAGTGTTACTGAAAACTGCTGTGACACCAATTTGGTATGGAAATCAAGAAATCAACTACTGTAATATATTGCTTGATGAAGGGGCTCAAAATTCATTTATTACAGAGGAGTTAGCACAAAAACTTGATATCAAATCAAATGGATCTGTTACCCTAAGAATTTCAGAATTTGGAGACAAGAATAGTGAAATTCGTCGTCTTGAGAAAGCAACGGTACAACTAGAAACACAAACTGGAGACAGAATTCCAATGGAGGTCATCATAATTCCAAAGATTGCAGCTCCAATCTCAAACAGATCACGCGTCAATATCAGGGAACTCGCATACCTTAGAGGATTAAAATTGGCACAACGGTTAGCACAGAGGAACAGTTCCATATTTCGATGCTCATTGGTGCGGATTACTACTGGAACATAGTAGGGGACAAAATCTTTAGAGGAAATGGACCCACCGCAGTCGAATCAAAGATTAGATATCTAATATATGGACCTATCCATTCAACAGGCCCGATGGGGAGTACACATCCTAAGATACAATTCGAAAACCAGATTTACGATGTTCCCCCCAGAGACATATTTGTTTCAAAATTTTTGAGACAGATATTTCAAGACGATGAAGGAATTACTTATTCTGAGCACGATATATTTCCGATTTCAAAGTCATATCATGGTGACTCTGATACAAGCAGAATGAAGTTAAGAAATCCTCAGAGAGATCCCAGATTTGTACCACAACAGATGGTGGGATTCTGCACTGTATTACATGAACTCAGCAGTGAGCAGAATGGAGACTTGAAGAGCGATGAAAACAAAACCCAATATAGTTATAGAATGGGGGAAGGACCAATTGAAGTAAGACGTAGGGAGAACAGAGTTCACATACAAAGAGGCAGAGGAACGTACAACAGACTTGTCAACAGAAGTCAATATCACCGAATTCGAAGATCAGGAACTACATGCAACAAAATCAAAATTGGAGACGTTGTCCAAGTCCATGATGATTTCACAAAACGCATCAGTTGGAAACTTGCTGTAGTGGTGGATCTCATAACTGGCGGAGATGGACTCACAAGATCAGCAGTCGTAGGTTTTAGTAATGGAACCATATCAAACCGTCCCATTACGAAATTACATCCCCTTGAACTAAACGAGTCAGATTCCAAATTGAGGAAAAGTGAAAGACTTTCCAATTAAAATTTTTTTTTGTAAAACACAACGCGAAATACGAACTTTCTATCATTGTAAATTGTGATTATTGACATTTTGCGGCCTGGAGTATGTTGATGATAATCTTCCTATATGTGACGTTAAAGTGCATGTGACATTAAGTAAATGTTTCTATTATGACGTCATCTTAATTCTGACGTCATGGTAACGTCAATGCTATGCAATGTTTGAATAATCAGTCTAGATAAACAAGTCAACGTGATTAGAGGTGTTTTTCATTCTATCTGACTCAACAAAATTAAAGAATTTTAACAATCCCCTGGTTTCCATGGCAATGATCGATTATTTGAAAATTTTTAATGCAAATCGCACAACTACAGATACTAATCATTAAAATAAAAAAAGTTTCATGACGAACGTTTAAGGTACCAGAGAGAACACTCGCGGACAAAATTCGCCGCTTTTTACAGGTTTCCATGGCAACGGTAGACATATTGGAACTGAACGACCTCACTGCACAACTACAACCAGTGATCGTCCTTTGAGGAAAGTTTCAGGAAGATTGTCCCAGCCATCTCCGAGAAACAGCCTGGATAAAAAAAACATGCGTACAATATCAATATGTCGTCCCCGACTTCGTTCGGGGCGACATAATAAGAATAAGAAACAGAGTAAAAACAATATGTTCCCAAACTCCGTTTGGGGGAAAATAAATATGTTACATGTACCCGTGAATAGAAACATTTATAAATATTTTGAAATTAGATTTCTTCACACAATGTTGCTGTTAACTTAATCAATAAGATTTTTACTTTAAGTTACTGCTAAGCATATTAAAATCAATATAGAAATTAGCTTGCATTTTTTTTTAATTGCGATTTTTGGATACACCGCAGACTCTAAGCTTTAGACAAATATTTAGGTTATTGCGTAAATTTTATGTGTGAAATAACTTAGAACTAGTAGGTTTACTATTTTATTATTAGGTATAAATCTGTTATCAATAATAATAAATCTATTGATAAATTTTCATGAGTTATAATTACCCGTGAGAAAAAGCACATATATATGTGATTTTTGTGCAACCATTATACGTATGTTTAAATATCCGTAATTAAACGATTCACAGTTCAACCTTAAGATGAGAATTTCATTATTTGCAATAATAATTGGAAATCTTCATACTTGAGTAGAAATTAAAAAAAATACTATCTGCATTTCATAATAATCCATGAAATCATTTTCCAAAAATAAATAAATAAACACCATTTGTAAAATTATCACAGTGATCTAAAGTTCTTTTTATTATAATACTTTATAATTTAGATTTGAAGCTTTGCAAGTATTTCATTTAAAATATTAAAGTAATAAACCAAATTAATCTTTTCTTCTTGTCAAAAAATGTTCCGCATTTTGAAACATGCTATCAGCTGGTTTTGTGTTTATCCTATCGTGAAGATCGTTTATCAGGTCTATCGTGTTATGCGTTTATTGTGTTTTGCGTGTATCGTGTATTTGCGTTTATGGTATTTTGCGTTTATCCTATCGTATTGTGCGTGTATCCTATCGTATTGTGTATCCTGTAAAGAATAACGATATGGGTACTATATCAAACAAAACCAAGATCTTCAATATAGTTTAAGGTTTGCACCAAAAAAGCATATTTATCAAAATACCACTGCAAAATTAAAACATTTTTTTTTAATTTTATTAAGATAAGAATGTTTTTAAGTAATCATATTCACAATGCGGAATAAAATTTATTTGTGTTTGTTTTAAGTTTTTAGCGTATTTACAAGTTTTGAAAATTCTTCTTTGTGTTGCAACTCGACGTAAACAATGTTGTTAAAATCTGGTATGCATATCAATAACAATAAAACTTTGACAAAACTGCTAGACCTCCGTCTTAAAAGGAAGTGTCGCTCGGCATTATTTTATCGTTACCATTCTCATTTCAAAGAATCAGCAATATGTAAGATAAAAATGTTGCAAAGATTTTGAGTAATCATATTTAAATGCAAAATAAAATCTACTCTTTATTGTTGAAAGTGTCTACGAATTTTGAAACTTTTGTTACCACTCATGAATAAGGAGAAATGCTCTGAAATACTTATTTCGCCTCAAATATTTTATTTTCAACAGAATTTTATAAACCATTATTTATCCTATTGTTTATTAAGCTTTATTAGGCAAATAGTACAATAATTATACAAAACCTACCTCACTTCTTAACTAGAAAAAATCTTGCATTAAGATTTTCAAGTTATGTTTTTTCAACAAAATGATTAAATTTATTAAAGATGCTACTTTCAGAGCAGTGCTTAAGCATTTTCAGCAGAAAATAATTGAAATACGACTTTTCTTATTTATCCTACTGTTTATTAAGCTTTTGAAGCTTTTATTGTAGGTAAATAGTACAGTGTTAATTAGGTAAATTGTACAATGTTTATGCAAACCAACCTCATTTCTAAACTAGAAAAAATCATCTTTTATTAAGATTTTCAAATTATGTTTTTTTTTTCAATAAAATGATTAAAAATGTTAAGATTGTCAAAAAAATGCTAATATCAGAGTAGTGCTTAGGCATTTTAAGCAGAAATAAAAAGAGAAAAAATAACTGAAATAAGACTTTTTCTTAAGGTGAAATATCCCCAAAATAAGAGAGATAACTACAGATATTGATTTTTAATTTCCATTGCATATATTTTTCTAAAAAAGAATTTAGGTAGTTCTATCTCTTAACATATAAGTCTTTGAATTGTCGCAGATATTTCAGATGCAATTTTTTTTAATCAGTTTCCTTTCTTTTCACTAAAATATTTTGAAGAACGATAATGAGAAGAATACTCGTGTAGATAGATGGATTTCATTTTACAAGCACAAAAAACAATTTCATGTACTGATTTTAAAATCTTGTTGCTTTGCGATATATATCATTTAGTCTAATGTTGAATGAAGTTTTACCACCAACTCGCTGACGGATTTTTCTGAGTGTCCTAATTATGTAAAAGAGCAACCAGTCCAGAGTAAAGGATCCAAACACCTCAATGACATGCACACCTGACTTAATTTTACATTTTTTTTACTTTTCCCTGCTTGTTCTCTTTCCAGTTTTGATTTTTTTTTCAATGGCCTTTGAGCTTAATTACATTTCAGAGATTGGTACCCTTTAATATTACAGAGAGAAAAGTAGTGTCCATAGTAAACCCGTAATATTTGTCTGACCAAAAAGTAAAACAAGAGGTGCACAATGACATCGTGTAACAAAGAATCTGTGAAAGTCTCATTAAATATCAATCAGTGGTACCATGTTCATAATGTATAAAAGATTTGCGGATAAGAGATGGGTACAGCAAAGCATACCAAACGGACGGATGGACGTACAGATTGAAGAAAATCCTGGGGTCTTATAACACAAATTATAGTCAGAGACTATGAAAACTATTAATGTTTTTACAGATGTACATACAAATGGTGATTTCAATTCCTTTGTCGATACGATATATCCTGGTGAGCCTGAGATGAAAGATACAGAGTCTGACACATCTATTTCAAACTTAATAGTTATCTAACAACAGAGTTCTATGATAAACGTGGTGACTTGAATTTTTCTATCGTCAACTTCCCTTGCTTAAGCAGCAATATACCTTCATCACCTGCCCAAGCAGTTTATGTATCTTAGATGATTCTATACACAAGAACATGCTCTACGTACGAACAATTTCTTAAATAAGGTAAATTATTGACAAAGAAGTCAAAAAATTTAGCTGTCTCGTTTGGTCGATACGATAAACTTGTCAGCAAATACAATTTATCACTGAGTCAACAGCTGACTGACGTTTTTCATACTACTGTAATTGTTTAAGGAATGACTCTAATTAGAGCCATTCCTTATAATTTAATTTTAAAATAATTAAACAACATTTGATGTAAAATTATGTTGCTTTTTACGAGTTCAAATTTACCGCGCAATAATACAAACGTTGTAACGAAAGTGATGTGAAGCGAGGGCAGGTAATAACTGATACATAGATCTAGCAGCCATGATGTGTGTTTACATGAGGTAAGATCGAGTAAGTGTTTGAAGTTAAAGATACAGTTATTAAATCTTGAATTTTCCATAGATTCCGAGGACTGGAAATGAGGGGATTGCATGGATAAGATGATTAAGCTGGTCGTCAAGGGGGTGTGTCCCCATACCAAACCAGATTATACAAAATGTTTTGCGTTCGTTTTTGGAAATCAACCAATGAGAGGCGAGAATATAAACAAAATTAAATTATTAGTCAATGATTTATACACTGAATTGACGAAAATTATTTCCTTCATTTCCCGATCATGACATGGAGCACACGAGGGGTATGGCCGGTCGGCAGGAGATACTTACTCCTCCATGGCACCTGATCCAACTGCCTTGTTTGCTCTGATCCTATTTGTGTTGATTTAATGGACTTTGATATTAAATACTGTTCGTTATCTTCAATATCCTTCGTTACACAAGTAGACGGTACGAATTTGTAGATCATTTAATACTTATCCGGTCATTTAGAATTTAAAAATCCATCAGTTTAGATAAACAAATGTAACAAATGTCTATATCGTAATTATCGGAAAATCTACGGCTTTACAATAGGTTTCACGGTCCTTCGGATGATGAGACCGTATAAAACCGTGTCGCAGTAGATGTTGGCAAGAAAAACATTCCTTTACTGCTTATTGGCCGTAAGTGTCGAGTATTGGACACATTTGCAAATCTCCACTGGCACGTACTGGCGTCTCCATATGAGTGAAAAAGTCCTTAAAAGGGGCATTAAACAACATACCAATAATTAGTAACATTTTTTATTTCAAGTGTTTCACATGAAGTTTTTTTCTTTCTGGATTGATTCCTAGCATGGTAGCTTAGCTGCTCGAACAAAATTCTTATTGTAAAGTTGACACATCGACCAAAAGTTTTCCTTTTCTTCGTTCCTTTTGAATCTTTTTGGCAAACTTTCCAACTTCGCTGCCTTTTGCTTAAGGTCTGGAACAAGAATTAATTTAGACAACACTGCTGCTTTCTGTTAAATACATGTGCCTGTATATGTTACTTAAAATATAGCAATAGTAAGCACAAAAGGAGATACGTCAGTCTTTATCTTTTTTAATAAAGTCTGATGACACAATGTTAAATACAAAACAAATGGCGAACAAAGAAGCTAAACCCCCTCTCCCACTGTCACGCATTTTAACGCATAAACCATATCTTATTCCTAATGCAAAATCATGCATGTACCGTTTCAAACAATCATACATTTTTCACGCACTTTCGAACGAAAATTCATTCTTCCATATAGTATAAATTTCTTTCTATTTTATACTTGCAAAATCGTATAAAATGAGAAAATCTTATTATCATCTCATTAAAAATATTACATCATGTTTTTCTGCACTAAATTTTAGAGAAACTTGTAATGCACTATAAAATGCTAGCAGGGAAAAGGTAAATTAATATTTCTATGACGTAAACATGTTGCGTTGAAATACTTGATATCGCAATTACTCAACTTAGCGTAGCTCATTCGCGATGGAGGTAGGAAACGTTTGTTGGGTGGGGACAAATGTGTTAATGATATAATGCATAATCGGTCATTGTAGAGTTTATAAAAATATATAAGTAAATAAAAAAACCTGGCGGAATACCTTGCATAAAAAATTGCTGAACCAGCAAAATAATTTTTTGAGACGAGCTAATCCTAAAATGTTACATTTTTAACAATATTTTTAACGAAGCGGCCTTTTGAATTTTCATTGAATATCATCAAATTTTAAAGCTGATAAAATATTCCAAGCTTTCCTTAGTTGACAACCTACTCTTTGGAGTCCAGTTATTGGCAATACATTGTACGTTTGGCGTTAAATTGATCGAATCATTTGATTGTTACTACAGTAATTGTAAACAATGTCAAGTGTCCCAAAAGTCTAGAGCTTTCTCGACTCTCCCACAAAAGAGCGATTGTAAGTTATATAACTGAGAGGTACTAGCGATAATACGTATTCAGTAATTTTTAAAAGCGTTAAAAAAGTTTTATGCTTGTAAGCTCTAAAAGACCTGGTATTGACCTTAAAAATAACATCTTTTAATTGATTACAACTATACTTATATACAATTCCGGGTTTTAATTCATTCATTCATTAAGATTAAAAAAAGATTTTGTATAGACAGTAAGACAAGCAGGAATATAAAATATAAGAAAATGGAAAAAAAATAACAATTTGAAGCTTTATTATTATTATTACTTTTATTATTGATTATAGTACCTTTCTTGAAAATAAATATATATTTTTTAAATTTAAATGTGAATAAAATCAAGATATGTTTGTAGTTAGTTATTATTCCTTATTGTTTTTTTTAAATTATTATCATTACTTTACAATTAGTTAAACCCATTTTTAGTAAAACCCGTGTTTATGTTTAAGGACTGCATATGATCGATAATGTTATTTGATGCTATTTAGGAATTGCGTTTTATTTCTTAAAACTTTGATTGATTCCATAATTTATGGAAAGGTTTATAAAAATAGTCGCACCCGAACAAACTATGTTGTTTGTTTCTCTATATAGCTCGGGTCGCAGAATGAGTGTCATTTTTAATTAAGTATTATTTAATCAAATTATCAAGGGGTGGTTGTATGATATTTCCCACCCTGCATGCTCCAGCTGAATGTTGTTTACAAGTTTGAGCTAAAAATAAACTTGCGTGACCTTGACAAGCACAACAACAACGAAACGGTAAATACAACCTTTGTTTTTCCGGAAATTATATCGTGCAGTTTTTTCTTGCAGTATAATTGTCACATACCCATAATTTCCATAAGTCTTTCTCTGTATGCAACAGATTTCTTAAAATAAGACATGATTTTGACTCATTGTGTCCTTTTAAAGATAAACTTTTCCAGATTGAAAATCTAACACTTTTCCTTCAAAAGAATGCTTACCAGTGATAAATTCCAAAAACTGTTTATCATTTTCTTGTTTTCTGCATATTTCGGTACCACTGCAGTCGTCACGGCTTGTGGATACCAACAAGGGAACGCATAAAAGCTTCAATAAATTAAAACATTTAATTTAACTTCTTCATGCACTTAGTGCAGTTTCTGATGATAATAATAATAATAATAATCAAGCTTTATTTAGAATCAACATATTCCTTAAAATGATACAATCAAAGATAAAACACGTAGTTTCATTCTATTTGGAAAATCCACAAGGAATTAAATGGAAATAGACTTTTAATTTGTATACTCCTCCATAACAGATGATTCCGAATCTGATTTCTTTTTAAAGATTTGCTCTTATCCCAATTTGTATTGCGTTAATGAACTTTTACGCTTGATTAATGTTTGTCATTTTTAAATTGTATTGAGATCTATACTTTAAAAAAAGAATTTATAATTCAAATTTTACTGTAAACTTATATTCGCTTGCGAGAAATTTTGGCGAGGTTCGCAAGAGCTTTGTCATCGCGAATATTTATTACCGCGAAATGGTCCTTAAAGTCGCTGTGTCTTTTAACAAAAGATCCAAAAAGGTGTTTGAACGAGAAAATTAATCATATCTTACTAGTTTACTCGCAGTGATTCGCGAATTGAAGTCTTCACCATTAAACGTTTGTTGACAGTAATTCTTAAACAGCTTACAACGATTATGTATTAGCTTTCGTGTAACATGTGTAAGAAGAATTTGAACGCCAAAAGACTTCTATTTTTAGATAAACCAAGCACATGTCCGATTTGAGGAAATGAATTACTTTAACATACAGAACAGCAACCAGGACATCTTTGGTTCGGGGCGTACTTTACTTGGAGATACACTGATTGATTCTTCTAAAGTAAATGTAGATAACACAGATCAAATAGTGGCAGCAACAAGTTTTCTCTTATTGAACAGATTGCGGCAGACCTGTGTAAATTTTTGTTATTGGCGTAATGATATCCAATTATTCCCAGAAATAACATTCTAGGAATGATGAGAAAAAAATGGTAATACATATCTATATCCAGATTTCTACGTATAACATCTTAAAGGAAGTAATGGCTATCTTTGTTTAAAATATTGACAACCGCCTCTCTCTACTTAGAAACAAATGAACAGATTGAATACATCAGACCCTGAGCAGAGTGTGTAATTTCCATTATTGTTCTCATTTCGAAGAATGAGCAATATATCAGCTCTGCGTACAGTACTTTATTATTTTGTGCCCCCCTTCCCCATTTGATTTTTTTAAGTAAAAGGATGACTGCACTTAACGCCGGTTTTTGGGTCTTTTTCAATCTCTTTTGTCACATTTATTTTTGCTTTTATTTTTACCTTAAGTCATTTGTAATAGAGTTTTGTCTATTTCCAAATGAAAGGCAATGTCATAAAGCTTATAAACTGCGTTGCAATAAAATAATTTGTTGTTTTTTTACCCCACCTCTCTGCAAATATCGGGAAATTAGACTTATCTGCCCTTGATTGGAGATAAGATTTATAAATATGCATAAGAGGCGGAGCTAATATTGTGAAGAGTGGTCTAAAATTAGAATAGTTACTGTATTTATATTTGGTGCATTCCTCTCTCTCTCTCTCTCTCTCTCTCTCTCTCGGCATATGTTTGTCACTATTATTTTTTAAGTTTTCAAATAAAGTATATAACTAATAACAAATAATATCGATCGGTAGAAGTAGCCATTGATAATCAACAGCAATGGTTGATGTCAACAATTCGCGTGTTCGAATGTAAGTGCCGACTAGCTCAGTCGGTAATGCACAGAATCATTAATATTGAGGTCTGGGATCCGGGATCGAAACCCGGTAACAACATTAAGACTTGCTATATTTTTCCCTTTTTATAAAAAAAAGAAAGAAAAACATCACAATTATTAAATTTTATCTGAACTTCTTCTCCCCATAAATTAGTGTGCTTAGGATGGTATGATTTCATTTTTATTTACTGGATCTTACTTTGGATGTTCATGATAAGCGATGGTTCAAAACATAATAAATAAATCTCTTTTTTCTTGTAGACTACGAACATGTAGAGACATATAATACACTCGAAAATATATAAATATAGTAAAATTAAACGCTTTTGAGATAAATATAAGAATAATCTTATAGATATCTAAGAGAAAAAAGAATAACCCGTGGCTCGATGGGAATGGATTGAAACAGATATGCGTGTTTCCTTACACGTCACGTGATGGAATTTTAGTATTCACAGAGTTACCTGGGTATAGAAATCACGTGGTTAATTATAATATTCAACAGGTAACAACGTGGTCAAAATGGCCTGTTTACTATAGAGAAAGTGAACACACGAAGAAACAGTTTTTTCTCTTTTTAACCATGAGCGCATGTTTGTCTATTGATCTCCTTTTGATATGAGGTAATATATATAAATATACAACTACCATAAAAAGGAGAACAATAGACAAACATGCGCTGACTATGTATTAAGCCTGTAAAAAGGTGGGCGTACTCATTATCCTATGGAGATTCCAGAATATGCGATGACCCCTCCCAATAAAAACGACTTCGAACTTCGTTAATACGAACTTTTAATTAACGTAATTACACAAAGTTGCAGTTAAGACATTGGCCATTTCTATCATTGAAAGAAATATGCCTATTTTTAAAATAATTATGTCGCAATTTCTAAGTTTCCTTAAGTGCAGTCATCCTTTATATGTCCGTTATCCTTATATCATGGAAAAACATCTCTAATTTGTAAGAACTTGTCAGTTTCCAGGGGCTTCTGTTTATAATAGTAAAACTTTGACAAAACTGGTGGATCTCCGTCTTAAAGTAAATGTCGCTCGGCATTAATTTTATTTTATCCTTAACATTCTCAATTCGAAGAATGAGCAATATGTCAGATAAACCGAAGATTTTGAGTAATCATATTCACAATGCAGAATAAAATCTACTATTTAGTTTTTAAAGTGTCTACAAATTTTGAAACTTTTGATACCTTTGATTAATAAAGAAATACTTATTTCGTAACAGATTTTTATAAACAATTATTTATCCTATTGTTTACTTACTTACTTAGTCCTCTTCGTGCTTGGAGCACATAAGGCCTGCACCGAGGACCTCCATCTCTGTCTGTCTGCTGCCATTGTCTGTACAGTGCCCCAAGTCCACCCTTGATCGTTCATTTCCTTTTCAACCGACCGTCGCCATGTCTCCTTTGGTCGCCCTCTGTTTCTCTTTCCTGGTGGAGTCCATCTTAGGGCTACCCTTGGTATCTCTGATGGTTTCATCCTCATCACATGGCCAATCCATTTCCAGCGTCTTTCTTTAATCTGGTCAGATATAGCAGCTGTGCATGTTCTTTCATACAGCTCCTCGTTGGTGATCTTGTTTGGCCAGAATATCTTCAGTATTCTACGGAGACATCTAGTTTGAAAGGTATCCAGTTTTTGCGAGATGTTCTTTGTCACCTTCCATGACTCAGATCCATAGAGAAGGACTCCGATGACATTTGTTTTAAATATCCTTAGTTTGGTTTTGGATCTGATAATTGAGGATTTCCAGATGTTCCGTAGGTTGGCAAAGATGGCACGGGCTTTTGAAATTCTATTATCTACGTCCATGGTTGAATCTCCATTGGCTGTGATCTTACTGTCAAGGTATGTAAAATTGTCTACTTCTTCTATTCTGTCGTTGTTTGCTGTGACTTCTTTACCTATCTTTGTATTTATCCTCATTAACTTTGTTTTGTTTACATTTATCTTAAGTCCAATTTGTCTGCCATACTTGACCAGGTCATCAGTTTTACTTTGAATATCTTTGTAACGCTGTGATAGTAAAGCGATATCATCTGCAAAGTCAAGATCTTCTAATGACTGTTGAAATGTCCAGGATATTCCTCGACTGGTCTGACTGGTAGTAATTTTCATAACCCAGTCTATGCAGAAACTAAACAGCAATGGTGAAAGCAGACATCCCTGTCTTACCCCGGTTTGGATTGGGAAGCTGTCTGTTAGTTCAGTTCCGCAGATGACCTTTGCCTGGAAGTCCTTGTATAGCATCTGAATGATGGATATGATCTTATTAGGGATGCCGTAATGTTTGAGGATCATCCATAAAGCAGGACGGTGTATACTGTCAAATGCTTTGGCAAAGTCAATGAAGTTGGCATACAACGTAGCATTCCATTCATTGCTTTGTTCTAAGATTTGCCTCAAGGAAAATATCTGGTCTGTGCATGATTTTCCTTTTCTAAATCCAGCTTGCTCTTTACGAAGGTATGGGTCTACCACTGAGGCCATTCTATTTAAGATGACTCTGCTTAAGACTTTGCTGGTAACTGACAACAACATAATCCCTCTCCAATTATTTGTGTCCGCTAGGTCACCTTTCTTGGGCAGCTTCACTATGAGACCAACCTTCCAATCATCTGGTGCTGTTTCTGTCTGCCAAATAGTTTGCAGGATATCTGTGAGAAGTCTGGGTGTTAATACTTCCTCAGCTTTTAACATTTCTGCATGTACTTGATCGATCCCTGGGGCTTTCCCATTCTTGAGAAGTTTAATGGCATGTTTTACTTCCTCAATTGTTGGTGTGTTGGTATCGATGTCCAAAGTGTCCATACTTTCAATAATTTCAGCATGTTCTGTTGATGGACATTCCTGGTTTAATACCCTTTCAAAATGCTCTTTCCAACAGGTAAGCTCTTCTTCTATACTTGAGGCCAATACTCCATCTTGTTTTCGCACTGGTGTATCTGTGTTTTTAAAACCACCACTCAGAGTTTTTGTAATACGGTATAATGTCCCCATGTCTTGTTTAGAGGCAGCATTTTCTGCATCTTGCGCAAGCTTGTCAGTGTAATCCTTCTTGTCCTTTCGTGCACTTTTCTTAACTTCCTTGTCTTGTATTGTGTTTAATTGTTTATTAAGCTTTATTAGGTAAATAGTACAAGTTTTATACAAAACTTACCTCACTTTTTAACTTGAAAAAAAATCTTGTATTAAGAATGTCAAAATATATTTTTTTGAACAAAATAGTTAAATTTATTAAAAATGCTACTTTCAAAGTAGTGCCTAAACATTTTAAGCAGATATATTAAAAGGAGAATAAATAATTGAAATACGACTTTTTCTTAAGGTGTAATTTTTATTGGTTAATGAACTATTGCGCTTAAATATGATATCTTAAAATATCAACTATCATTTGGCAAAAAAAAAATTTATACATTTTTCTTTCTTTTAAAATTTGATCCTTTTTATTTATCTTCGTGTGCAGCTCTTCTTCTAAAGGAGGTCAAAAAAGTGTGAAAAAGACGATAACCCTCCAACACCTTTAAGAATTTATTTACTTTACCATAAAGAACAACGACCAGGACATCTGTAGTTTTGACTGTACCTTACTTAGAGATACATTGATTGATACTTCTTAAGTAATTTAAAGTAGATAACACAGATTAACTAATGGCAGCAACAAGTATTCTCTTATTGAACAGATTGCGACAGACCTGTGTAAATTTTTGTTATTGGCGTAACGCTGTTATCAAAGAAGTAGGTACGGTTTCCTTTATAATTCTGCACGGCGTTTTGAGGAAAAATTAATTTGAAGTTTCAACAATTTCTCCTTTATGAAATTATAGACTAACAAGAAGGTTATTTAAAAATAATGTTCAAATGAACTTATCTTTGCGCATGCGTAAGTTACAATGAATGAAAGTAAGGGCGATAACCCTTTTTTCGTATTTTTCAGTGTCCTTGTACATATATATTAGATAAATTCAATATCTCTGCCATCGTCGCCCGGAACTATTTTTGGTATATTGAAAGATTATTATAAAATGCATAATTTCTAAAAGTTTCATTCCGGGCGACAGTGGCAGAAGGGTTGAAATATTAATGAATAAACATCTTTTTTAGTTTATTTCATAATATTAGAATGCTTTGATTTGTTACAATTTCTTATTTTTAAAAATCCGGATAAATTTGATCCATAAGTACGGAACGCTGACATTTTGGTTGTTATGGTTAGTGTAAACAGAGCAGTGTAAAGATAGGGCCAACGTTTAACAGATTCTTCCTGCATAATCCTGGGAACCAGTTAAGCCAATTAAGAAACATACAAATCAATAGAAAATCATTATATATTACGAAGCATTCAAAAAAAATTTCACATACTTAGACGTTTAAACAAAGGTAGTAAAGAGTGCAGTCACCTATGCAAGCTATGCAGCTTGCAAGTTGCAGACGACCCTGTGCCGTGTGCGTTAGATCTGCAGTATGCTTGATATTTTTGTGTATGTTTGTTTAGGTAGAGTCTATAACTTAACCCAGTCAGTGCATCCGGAAAAATAAATTCCAGATCGACTTTAATGGTTACAATTCAGTACCTGAACCCGATGTATTTATGTAAATAACAAAGTTTGTACTTATTTAAATACTTCAATGATCTATGCGAATACTGAAAATTCTGATTATTAATTTGTTGTACACGCAAGCTGGTGTATTTAGTCTCTTAATTAATCTGGGGTTTTTGTTAATATTGACTTGATGTTTCTACTTTCAGTTCATACAATACTGTCTTGTTTAAGTATATACATGTAATTTATATGGATTCCTATCGGAACTTTTGAACAGTTACTGAGTTAAATCACATCTGAAATTATTACAAAAGTTAATATTTTGATTTTCAAATCAAAGTACTGAAAGGACTGATACGAGTTAATGGTTGTCCAAGCTGATCGAGCTAATGTATGATGAAAAAATGAAAGTCTTGTCCAGTTCGGGGCAACATACGCTATTAATTGCTTGCAATAGCAGACTTTCTAGTTTTTGTTTGATGTGTTGATCAGTGCAATCGATTCCTTTCCATAAATAAGTAAAACCACAATTATTATATATTATTTATTCATAGCTTAACCGTTAACCTTCCCATCCTACACACAGTTTATAAACAATACAGGAATGTAATTATGGAAATATAAATCACATCGTCAGATAAAGCAATAACTTTTCAAACAAATTTTCAATAAGACTAACATAATCTCAGCAAGATTTGTAGAGACTAAAAATTTTGGTCTGGAGATGTCAATCCAAAATGTTTAGTCTCTACAAATCTTACTGAGATTAATATTAACGCATCTCACTCAATTTGTTTGACCACATCGTTACAGTTATGAGACCATAAATTTTAAAAATAATCATTCAAATTAATATTGCATAAGTATAGCGACTAAAAGCCTGACCTAAATACAATGGGTACCTTGAAACAATGCCTTATAAAATGCATAGTTGACCTGTCTAGCAAGTAAACATGTACTTATCTTATAGGTATTCAAGACACTCATGCATTCAAACTCAAACCTGAAAGTAATCAGGAAAGAAATGTTACAGTACATTACTACAAATAATTGTACTTTATGCAAAATAGACCTAATATACTGATAATTTATGCATGCATTCATTTTCAGAATCATTCTATATTGACTTGCCCTTATATTTGACACATATGTTGTCATTTCCACAATCTTCTAAATTGGATCAAAACAAAACGAAGAGAAAAACAAAACCAGATGATAAAGAAAATAAGAAAAACACAAAACAAATCATTATGAACATAAAACAATAAATTTATGGATAATTTATATTCCATTTTTAAAATTATTAACCTACTGAAATCAATATCTGCCCATCTTAATTATAATGTCACATGGTCACTTTGTTGCAATGGAAAAAATAAGAACAAAGTAAACTATAAATCAATAACTGTACTGAATAACACAGTACAAAAGTATCAATTTATGCATAAACATAACTTGATAATAAAAGCATAACCAAGTCACTACAACATACATGTAACTTCCATAACTTAATTATGATGCAAAATATTCAAGGCATGATACAATATAATGCAGTCATAATATTACAAAATCATAACAGGGTTACCCTGGAACATAACACACATCACTTCATAACATAACCCATCACTTGATAACCATTCATTAAGTATAATAACTCGGTCACTACATATTATATTACTGCATAAAATTGACAATTCATTTTATAATGAAACCCAATAAATACAGAAACTAAATCCAGTCATTAGCTAAAATGACCCAGTCACTACACTACATAATCCAGCCACTGCACTACATATACTAGTCTCTACACTACAAAAAACTGTCACTACACAACATAACCCAGTCACTACACAACATAACCCAGTCACTACACAACATATCCCAGTCACTACACAACATAACCCAGTCAGTACACAACACATCCCAGTCACTGTGCAACATAACCCAGTCACTACACTACATATCCCAGTCACTACACAACATAACCCAGTCACTACACAACATAACCCAGTCACTACACAACACATCCCAGTCACTACACTACATAACCAAGTCACTACACAACATAACCCAGTCACTACACAACACATCCCAGTCACTACACAACATAACCCAGTCACTACACAACATAACCCAGTCACTACACAACACATCCCAGTCACTACACTACATAACCCAGTCACTACACAACATAACCCAGTCACTATGCAACACATCCCAGTCACTACACAACATATCCCAGTCACTACACAACATATCCCAGTCACTACACAACATAACCCAGTCACTACAAAACATATCCCAGTCACTACACAACACATCCCAGTCACTACAATACATAATCCAGTCACTACACAACATATCCCAGTCACTACACTACACACCCCAGTCACTACACTACATATCCCAGTCACTACACAACATAACCCAGTCACTACACTAAATATCCCAGTCACTACACAACATATCCCAGTCACTACACAACATAACCCAGTCACTAACCCAGTCACTACACAACATAACCCAGTCTCTACACACACAATATCCCAGTCACTACACTACATAATCAAGTCAAACACTACATATCCCAGTCACTACGCAACATAACCTAGTCACTACACTACATATCCCAGTCACTACACTAATAATCAAGTCAATACACAACATATCCCAGTCACTACACAACATAATCCAGTCACTACACTACATATTCCCAGTCACTACACAACATAACCTAGTCACTACATACATAACCCAGTCACTACACAACATAACCCAGTCAACACAACATATCCCAGTCACTACACAACATAATCCCAGTCACTACACAACATATCCCAGTCACTGCACAACATATCCCAGTCACTACACAACATATCCCAGTCACTGCACAACATATCCCAGCCACAACACAACATAACCCAGTCACTACACTACATATTCCCAGTCACTACACTACATATCCCAGTCACTACACAACATAACCCAGTCACTACACAACACACCCCAGTCACTGCGCAACATAACCCAGTCACCACACAACATAACCCAGTCACTACACAACATATCCCAGTCACTGCAATACATATACCAGTCACTACACTACATATCCCAGTCACTACAATACATAACCCAGTCACTACACAACATAACCCAATCACTGCACTACATAACCCAATCACAACACAACATAATCCATTCATTTAACTACATAATCCAGTCACTTCACAACACAATCCAGTCACTACACATCATACTGCAACATTTATCACATATTAACTAACAAAAAAAACCAAATACTGGTTTGTTGTATGGCATAATAAGTTTGTTTGGCATAATAAGTTTTTGGACTGAACAGTCACTTATAGATGGAAATCCTTTACTGAACACTCTGTTGATGAACATCTTGCATCAGCCTCTTCATAAGGCAGTCCTGTTTTATTACAGATCAGATAAACCATTGCTTCTTTCAGTAGAATGAATGAGAAATAGTGAACTGCCATTCTGAAAAAAGACAAATCTTTTGAAAATAATGCATGCTTACATATATTCTAATGGGTATAGGGAGTACATTCATAAATTGTTATGCTGCTTTTTAAACATGTAATAGATCTGGTAAAAAAAATAAAAATTATTGAGTATACATACAGTGGACTATCTATAAGGATACTTTCCAATTCTTCATTTTCAAGAGTTTGGAAGGTTCTATATCGAGTGAAAATGGATCTGGAAAATTATTTAAAATTTATATAAACCTGGTAAAAAAGTAACCAAAAAGAGGAATTAAGACAATAAATGACAAAGAATTACAAATAGAGTACAGTTCTAAATTTCTAATGCATTCGTGACTTCAAAATCAAATAATTATCTGCAAACTCTTACCCAGGCAAAGGTTTGCTGCAGAACATTTCTTCTTGGAGAACTGTTTGTAGATGTTCTTGTTCCTATTAAAGTAAGTCAGCATATTGTCCATTGAAATGTAAACAGAAAATACTTTTGGAAATGCACATAAATTATCTTAAGTTCCAATGAAAAGATTCAATAATTTTTTCAGTGCAATTTTTGATACAACATTTAAAATGAACATACGTACATGTCATGTACTATTTCAGATATAATTCTTCTAATTCTTACCTGAGAACTTAAAAATTTTCTTCCAAAGAAATACTGTTTAATGTATTTGTCATACATATCTGCAGGGCTCTTTACAAACATATGATGGCGGGCATGATCAGCTTCATCACTGGAAAATGTAAATAAAATGAAAGTTGTGTGTCTACCTGAGACTTTATCTATTACTTATGATATACAAATGTATACAATTTCATCATTTTTTTTAAATATCATATTTGTACAGGAATATTAACAGAACAAATTACCATTCATCAATTTTGCAGTTCATTATCTTTGTTAGAGCACCTATTACACTGTTCAGCTGTAAAAAGAATGTTTACTTAATAATATGTATTGTACAAAACTATTCAATTAATTTGATAAACATGAATAATGTATTTAACTTTCTTATACTCACATGACTGTTAATATAATCTGTATCAAATACTGAAAAAAGAGCTTTTTATTAAAATTTCAGCAAAATACATAGCAATATATTTACCTGAACACAGTAAAGTACATATGAACTACCCACCAGAAGATTGCGTCACAACATCAGCTGCATCTTGTACCTCCTCTTCATCATTTCCAGTGCCCTCTTTTCCCCTGCATATTTATAACATCACTTTGTACATAAAAATATTTTACCATGTAATAAATAGTCTTTATTATCAATATATATTGCAAATAATTTTTTTTAAGCAAATGTTCTTTTCACTTTTCTGCAAACCATGTACTATTTGTTTTGCCAAAGCTTAGCATTAATGAAAAGTATACATCTCAGCTACATGCACTCACATATTTTCACTCTGTGTCTGGTTCTCAGTTTCACAAGTAAGCCTATATTAGTGTAAATGAGATAAGTTTAGATTATTAATTCTAAGTAGCAAAAATTCGCAATTTTCCAAAACCCATAGATAGAGTTAAATAATTATAATTATGATAAGATTTATTGTTGTTCTTTAAAAGTAATATTAAAAAAAAGATTGAACTTACTTGCAATCATCCGTACTTAAAGTCTCTTCTTTGACAGGTAGATACCTAAAAGGAAAAGAAATTAAAAACCATTTTTAAAAAATTCATTGTGAAAAGGATTTACAGTAGAAATGAATGTTGATGAACTGATTGGTTTTATTATCAATCATACTTGTTGATCATATTGTTATAAATTAATAATCATACTAAGTTGATAAGATATATAAAGATACTTTAATTACAACTACAAGTAAAACAAATAAATCATTTAAAAACTTAAATAGCAACAGTTCTATGTAATGCATAAATCAATACAAGTTTTAGAAAACTTGCTTAAAGGGTGTCCTAAATATTACAAGGCTAGTACTGTTGCATGAAAAAAAATAGATTAGCAGGTTCAGAATGTTCCTGTTAACAAATCTTTACTTGAGTTTATGTTATCTAACCCAAAAGGCACTAGGGAGATTTATCAATCAAAATTTGTCCATTGTCTGTCTTTTTAAAATTTTTTTTTACAGGTATACAACTGAACTAATCTAAGCTAAATTTGATATAAAGCATTCAAGAATGCATGAAGTTCATTTTTTTTTTCAAATTAAAAACCATGTACCATCTCCTTTTTAAGGGGGGATAATAAAGATTAAGTGAAATGGACATCTTTCAAAAAATCTTCATTAAAAAACCACTGAGTTGGAAAAGATAAAATTTGCATTATGAAAGCTTCATTACATAGTGTAAATTTTGTTTTTTTCAAACAATTTCCACCAGTGGTAGGATGGGGCCATCATAGTTTTATGAAATGTCTTCTTAGTGTAGATTGAATTTTGTGACCCAGGTGAGTCTTGTGACCCATAGGCCTGCTGTTTGTTCATGCATGTTATAATTTTCTAAGTTAAATGTATAAATCATCATATCATTAACTTGTAATATATGTAAACAGCTAATCTACTAAAAGTATATGGTAAAAAAATCTGAGAAAGGTTTTACAATATGTAAACATTTAATTTTTTGATTGCATGACTTTCTTTTTAACTTGTGAAACAATTTATTCCAAAGTCATGTGACATCACTGAAATGATATAAATCGGGAAAACGGAAGAAAAATATCACTCAGAGAGCAAAATGAATTGTTCAAGGTACATGTGCATACTTTTTTCCCAGATTTTCTTATGATTCTGAACAGTCATGCAAATTTCAGCAAATAAAACTAATCAGGTATTTATGTATCTCATAAACAAATTGCTTCTCTCTCATTAATTATTGACAGTACAAAAACACACTAATAAGACATTACTCCTTAAAAGTTTCATCTTCTGTATTGATGATTAAAATATGTCCTTTAGAACTATGAGATTCATAATCATATATGAATAACAATAGAAAACTATGCAGGAAAAAATGCAACATCATGCTCATTTTGTAGGAAGACATTGATATGCATGGTGTGTTAAAAAAGTAAGATCTACCTTTTCCTCATTTTCAATTTTTTTAGCACATTTTGGGCAACATCCTGTCAAGTTAACTGTAATGAAAAAAGAAATGCAAAGTTCTGTACTATTCAAATCTCTCTTATTTTAACTAGACATGTCCTGATTTCTTTTCCATTATTATAACTGGAATGCATCTGAGAAATATGAAAACTATAACCCCACCCACTCAATGGGCTAAGTTAAAGTTGACAACAGACAGACAGGATGGGACAAAAACACTATACCCCTGGGATATTTAGATCTGGGGGCAAAAAAATGAATACAAAATAAATACCTTTGTAAAGCATCAACTCTAAAGCTACTTTTCTCCTCATGATTTGTAGATCTTTTTTAGTTATTACTTTGTAGATCATGCAAGTGTCCATTTAAATGCTTCTCTGCAAACTAAAATAAAATTTCAAAAAGTAACATATCTGTCAGATCATATCTATGGTTGAATTGTATTGAATATCAAGAGAACATTGTATTAAAATTTCAAGTTGTTGGTAAACATTCTGTCATAGAAATAAAATGAACGACAGAACAGATAATATCAACCATAATGGAAAGGTATTAATTTGAATCGTGAAATTTTTTTTGTGAAAAACCATGTGCTGTCCTATTTTATGGACAAATATTGAAGCTAGTCCAAATATTCAGATGGTATATACATGTATTGAGATGGCATATATAGAAAAACAAAGACAATACCACAAGGCAATATATTCCACAGTTGAATGAATCTCTCTGGAGAGCATGTGGACTTGTACATATCTTCCAATCTGGTGACTTGTTGCTTATTTGGTACTTGTTCCGATATTCACTGTCATATTTCCTTTAACAATAAAAAAAGTATGACTTGTGAGAAAATTTAAAAGCACAAACCAGATATATCATGGGACAAGTCAAGGTCAACATAAAGGTTGTTTTTAGTGGATACCTCCAACTCCTCTCAATTTTTTTCATCTCATGGCTCCTCTCTCCACATGGATGAAGCTTCCAGGGAATATGGCACCACATGGAGTTATAGAAAAAAATCTTGCCTTCTCTTACTTCAACAATCTAAAGAAAGAAAAGTGGTAATACTGCTATGGTTTACAAACTCATATTAACAAAACATAGTGTGAACAAAAAATCTCACCACTAAAGTCCAATGATATGACCTGTGATACACTCCCACAATAACATCTGCCTCTACATCTATACCCTGTAAATGTGAATACATTTTAATGCAGACTGGTATCAAAATAGTGACCTAGCTCTGTCTTCTTTTGTTAAGACAAATACTAACGATTGTTAATTAACTGTATTTGATACAATTTATATAATTAGTACGTCTTTTCACTTACAGAGTTTTGGGATACATCTGGTAATCGGAAGTCTGAATTTATGATCCCTGTCATTTTGGTTTGGTCATAGTGTACAACATTTCTTCCTAATTCATTTTGTTGAGTGGCCAGCAACAACAAATAACAGTCAATGACCTAGTATAAAATATATGTAGGCATTATTTCTAAGAATAAAAATCTTGGAAAAACAAATGATCGAATTAAAGAATAGTAGCCCTTGAGCTTAATTATTGGAACATGTTACCTTTTCCCTTATTTTCTTTGCAAAGACTTGTTAAAATGCAAAGAGGTCAAGACCTAATTGACATTGGCATCAGAAGCGAATTAAAGGGGGGAGGGCTAAGACCCTGGTTTCGATGCCTATGATTGAATTGAATTTACTCATTGCTTAGATGATTCATTATGAATATGACTAAACAATTTATCTGAGCGGCATGCGATCGAGTTCTTGTTTTCATTAAATATTTTTATACATACCCTGTCAGTGAGACATTCATTACTTTTTAATGAACGAATGTCTGTGTCCATGATTACTTTACCAAATACATTAGCCACTGGAAAATTGAAATCCTTTTCTAATGACCATAAATTCTCTACCAAATCATAGCCTGGTGAATACAATTGGACAGTATAAATATATAAAATAATAATGACAGATATACACTTCATGTGTAAAAATTTGAAAGAATTACCCACCATTACTATTCACATGAAATTTTGCATTTTTTCCTGATGCTTCCAAGTTTTGATCTGGTCCATTCCTTGTGAACAGTACATCAGACTTGGCTGAAATTGAATAAAATATTTAAAGTACCAGTACAATATACTAATAGTAATACATGATTTGGAAGTGAAAACTCAGTTTTAATATGAAATGTTATACATGTACAGAATTATTCTAAAATTCTCAAACCATTTTCCATTGTTTTCCATTTCTTCAGATTTTTTTCATTTCCAATTTCTCCATCGTCTGATTTCCTCTTGGATGGTTTCTCCTAATATTTATGAAATATTAAATATGAATATATGAGGATTGCTTATTTAAAAAAAACAACAAGCCATTAATATTTATTTAATATTGAAATAGTAAATGTTACATCCATGCACTATGTAAAATGAATGCTTAGACAATTACCTGGAATTTCAGGGAACACATCCGGCAAGTGATTGTTTCCAATGACATGCATCCAGATCCTAAACAGGCTTCGGTCCTGTGAAATTTTCTTGAGCACAATTCACATGTGATCTGCAATTTAATTTTTTTTTTTTATTTATTTGTTTTTAAGATCAATTTATAATGAATTTAACTCTTTTCTTTCCATTTTCCTCTTTCTTTGTAACGAAAGATTAAATGAATAATGATATCTTTTCCTTTGAAATTGTTTTTTAATGTTTAGACTTAACTTACTGTTTCTTCTGCATATGTCAAAAATAACAAGGAACTGTGCTGTAGAACAGCATGAGTTCAAAAAAAATTTCAGATATATGCTAAAAAAATGATTGACCAATTTAATTTCTTTTGAAATTATAAAACTTTTCATTTGGCAAGTTAGAGAAGTCAACAAACACAAATTATATAAAATACATTAAATGCAAGATATTTTTGATTACCATTGCACATCAAAGTTATATAGTCTCAGAATGCTTCACAAATATATTTTTGTTAGTAATCTTTATATGTATTTGTACTTGTCCTTTTTTGTTTACCATTGTATATCATTAAGAATAAAATTCAAAAAGTATTACCTATTTTTTGCAAATCCTGATATACAGAGATGTAATTCAACAAAAAGGTTTTTTCAGTGGATATCGTAACTTCTTTTTTGCCAGAAATCTCATGTGCTTCCTCTTTTCCAGGGTAAATTATAAATCCGGGCGTATTTTCTTAGTCTCTTTGTCACAAGGAAATTTAAACTTATAAAATTTCAAAAGGCAATATTTTTTTAAAATTCGTGTGGAAACATTATTTCTCAACCATTCTCTTTTTTTTAAAGTATTGAGTTGCATAAGAAACATTTTTATTATATTATTTAACTTAAACAAAAAAAAAAAAGTATTGCATGATTGTATACATTACAATATTGCATTTAGTTTGTTGTATTAAATATCAAAGCAATTATTTTTCATAAATTAAACTGATTTTTTGTTTTAGAACTTTTTTTTTAGAACATTATCCCATGGACCTAAAATTTTGTCATTCCCATTTTTTTTAAAAAATTGATATTATTTTTCTTAACACAAATGATTTCTATAACTGTAAAGTAGATAGTATATTGATTAATTGTTTAGTCAGGCTATAAACATACATGTTATTACAATTAAATGTTTTTCTTATAAAATATATTATATTTTATATTTAAATACTTGTTAAAAACAACTGATCACTTCCCTAAATGTGGGATTGTGCTAATTACTTACAGATGTGTTGAACATGTTAGGAACGACTTATCCCTGTGATTTTCTTTGCAAAACCTAAGATTGCTTATCAATTTAATTGTTTGGTACAGAAGTTCTAAAAAAAGTATCTTTTTAATTCTATATAATAAATACACCTTGTTTATACATTATGGAATTTTACTAAACAATGTTCTGAGCTGTAAAGAGCATTGTTTTCAAAATTACAAATTTTGAGTACAACTTCCAGATTAGCTTTAACTACTTTTAAAATAACAGCATCTGCATCCAAGATTACTTTCCAAAAGGACCTAGCTCTGTCTTCTTTTGGTACCACCAGGCAGGTCATGCCTTTTCAATGAAATTAGAGAAAGCTTTACAACAAAGCATAGATGGTGTGTAAACAATTTTGATAACATATATAAACAATGAATACTTTTTATCTATGAAAATAAAAGACAGCTGCATTTGCTTTTGATTTGCAGAGCCAGATGTTAATGATTGAAAATTAAATCCAGTATTTTTTACATAAATTATTCTTTTTCCAGAAAATAAACATAAATCCTTATCACAGTTGGAAAATATATTGAATATGAAATCATATTTGGAAGAGAAAAGATCAGTTGCAATATTAAGAGTTGACCAGCAGCATTAGCTTTAGAATGCAATTGCCAGTGAACTGTAGCCATTTTGCCTGATTGCTCAGGAAGAAGATGACCGTTTGCAATGCCAGTTATAAAGCATTCAAACTTCTTTTTGTGAATATTTCAATCTATGAAAATGTGATTGGAAAATGTTGTGAAACGCGAATGACAGAATTGCTCGTGATTTGCATCTTTTGCCAATTTAAAATAAAAAGAATGGCAGGATTTCCTCTTCGGCATGATTTCAAAATGTGATTCAAGTGATTAATATTTTTTAATATTGAAATAGTAAATGTTAAAATCTGTGAAACTATATAAAATGAATGCTTTGAAAAACTAAATTTCAGATTACATTTTTTAAATTTTTTCCTTTACATGCATCCATTGTATCACACTGAAAAATATTCCTGTGAAATTTTCTTGAGCACAATTCACATGTTTCTGCAATTAGTCAAAAATCTTTTTTTTTTTTATATTCATGCTTGTTTTTAAGATCAATTTATAATGAAATATTTTTAATATTTAAAATGTATTTTTTGAAATTTTTTTTATGTTTAGACTTAACTTACTTTTCTTCTGCATATGTCAAAAATGACAGCGGTATTTTTAGACTGCATGAGTTCAAAAAAAATTTCAGATATATGCTCACAAAAAATGATTGACCAATTTAATTTCTTTTCGAAATTATAAAACTTTTCATTTGGCAAGTAAAGTAGAGAAGTCAACAAACACAAATTATATAAAATACTTTAAATGCAAGATATTTTTGATTACCATTGCACATCAAAGTTATATAGTCTCAGAATGCTTCACAAATATATTTTTGTTAGTAATCTTTATATGTAGGGCTTTTTTGTTTACCATTGTACATCATTAGAGAAGTTGCTATTTTTTCTCTTGCACTCTTTAGGTCTGCATTTGAAACCTTGTCACACGGTTGCTGGTTGAAATATCTTTCAGCAAACTAAAGAAATTTTAGAAAGAAATAACAGTTATGTACTTTCAAGGTGATATTTTTTTGGTGTGCAATACTTACTGGCATAAATGCACATTATTACACACAATTATAACATGTATTCCATAATTTTCTATATGATTAGATAAAATATAGGAACTTTTACTAATGATAAGAATTACATAACTCACTATCAAACAATACACTCCACAATTAAAACTGTCTGTCTGTTTAGAGTGTTCTCTTGTGATGACAGCCCAATTCCTTCTCTCCAATTCATGATATGTAACCATCCTCTCACTGATGTACAAACTTAAAGAAAATTATATACAGAAATAATTTAATCAATATAAAAACTAAACATAAAACATGTAATGCTTTACTTTGTTAATTAAAAGAGGGATTGGATTTCAGATGTACAGTAATCATACATGTAGCTATGGCACATTGTTTTATTGACATCATCTTAATTAATTACCACCAGTTTCTCTTTATCTCCTCAATCTGTATTCTGGTCTCTTTCAGGGGGTTAAAGTAATGTATGAAACCCTTCAAAGGATCAACAATCTGAAAAGAATATGGTGTTGCCTCACTTATCTTTAACTTGTAGATTTTGATCCATTAAAATAGATTGAATTTCAACAATACCGATCTCCATTGTCTGATAAGCAGAATCAAATTCAATTGAAAAAATTATTGAGCTGTAAATACATGTACATGTGTCTTTTCATTGTCAGTAATCTTACTAGCTTCCATGTGGTTAATAATTTCTATCAATCTCATTAAACCTGAAAATTGTGTACTTACCACAAGAGTCCAATGACGATTTTTACATATAGCTCCAATTATTGAAGTACACTCATATAGCTTCAACTGAAAAATAAAATACAGCTGTATATTAAGCATAAAAGGACATTATTTAAACCATGTTTGTTAACTTGATTGCAGAATAATTATACCTTCCTTCGACTCTTTCCAACTGAAAAATTTCCATCCATGATCTGAGTCATGGTTTGTGATGGATATAGAGCAACCTTGTTTCCTTTCTCGATTTCCTTTTGAACAATGGCAGCTAAATATGCATCAATAACCTGTAAAAATGATAAAAATTAATGCACATGATCAAATTGAATGTATATCTAGAAAAAGAAATTGAGGAAGTGCTAACTATTAAAAACTTTATAAAGTAAATATGTGCTTACCTGATCAGTCACCCAGTTTGTACCATTAAGAGACCTTATGTCCTCATCTGTGATGTTAAAATTAGTTACTTTTCCAATAAAAAATCCAGTGCCTTTTTCCATATTCCAAATTTTGTTCACCTCCTCTAAAGCTGTAAAGATAATTTAGTTTTTAGAAATCAGCCTCCTAATGAAATGTCATTACTTAATTCTTGGGACTGGATAAAAGCACAAACCTTCCCTATAATCCATCTCATGATACTTTGTAACTGTCTGTGACATGGTACCAGAATCTGGAAAATGTACCTTCTTCACCTGCTTTGTACCTTTGTGCATTTTCTTTAATATACCCTTCATTCCTAAAGTTAAAAATATATAAAACAATCAATCATTGGTTTAAGCCAGACAGATTTTTAACTCTTTTACTGAATAGAGCTTTATCTCATTTTATATTGGACATTTGAAAATGTATCCAAGTTGAAAATTTTACCATTTGCTTCTAAATGTGAATATTGATCATCTTCAATGGTAATGATCTCCTCTGCAACCTCACTGCTCTCTTCAATAAGAAAATAACCATCATTATTTTTCCTACAATATATTCTTACATGCATTTATCAAAAAGAAGATTCTCATTTCACTTTCCATATGCATTACCATGTGATAACAGGTCATGTACACCCTTGGATGTATGTTTTCGCATATTCTCTGCAGATGAACCATGTCTCCCAACTCCTTTGTTTCTTTTCTTCGATAGAGAAAGTTTATTTATTCGCTTTGCTGGTGTTGTTGCAATGTGGGTCATTTGCTTTTGTGGATTATCTACAGGGAGTACATCAGTTTCGCTGAGACTAGTTGTTAAACCATCTAATGTATCCTTCAATTTAGAGCCGAGGGTTTCCAAAATTTCTTCGTCCTTACAAGAATATGAATAGTCTCTTATCATTTGACAGTAGCTGCTGATGTTGGATCTTATTTTAGAAAGTCTAGATTTGGATGGTAAAATAATTTCTTGAATGTTGCTGTCTGTATTGGTCTCTCTTCTTGACTCTTGGTCTTCTTTGCAGTCAGGGTGAGTAACATAAGATGGTGAACTGAACTCATAAAGAACACTCTCATCTAATGTCAGGAAGGGATTGTTCCTATACTCTTCAGGTAGTTTCTCCCACTGCCAACCAGTAACATTTCTAATGACAGCAAAAAAGTGTTTACAAGGCAAATGATGTTTGGCCCAGTCCTCACAGTCGCAAGATGGTACTGGAAAGTCGGGTGCTGAAAAGCGGACACAATAAACTTGTGAGCTCTCTGGAACCTGACTCTTTACCAGGAATTGGTCTTCTCCTAAGGAATCTATGTCATCTACAGAAATGTTTCCTGCTTCTTCCCATCTTTTAAAGCAATGCTTTACAACATTTCTTGGACGATTAATTAGGAAAGTGGGAATGTCAGGATTGTACCTCATTGATTCCTCTGCAGATATCAAATTCAGTTTCACATATCTGAAATTCCAAAATAAGGTAAATGATTTTTTAGGTAATTACCCGGTAGTGGCATAACTGTATATAAATAATATTAAACATTATCACATACATGTATATATTGCAGCAACATTAATGCAGCATCTATATATAAAGGTTTATTACCTTTGGTAGATGTCTGGAAGAAAATCATTCCACAAAATTGTAAGAAGATGACACAGTGACTTTGCTTTCTTTGCCTCAAGAAATTCATATTTCAGTGTCTTGTTCTGTCTCTCAACCCCGTTGTTAGTATTCACAGAAGTGTTGTATCTCTTCTGTCGGAAAGCTTGCACCCATCTCTACAATTAAGAAAATTACATGTACTCAGCAAATTAATTTTTTGTGGACATATGCCACATCGTTACGTGTGTATACAATGTACACATATTATACCTATCTTACCTTATATTTATTTAACCATCTGCCTTCAAACCATTTTCTGAATCTGTTATTTTCTGTCCAAAAGTGACTGTTCTAAAAAAGGAAATAAAAAGTGAAATCCAATTACAGGTTTATAACTTATGCATGTACATAGAAAGCAACTGAAAATAGTAAAATCAAGACGAAATTATATTATGATAGTTTATTAACAATGCAAATACTAGTGATACTGAGAAGAGTTTTCATTCTTGTAAATGTGTAAGTTAGGAGTAGGATTAGTTTTACTGTACATAATACTGATTAAAAAATACCTTTAATCTGTTACTTGACAGTTCAAACTCTTCATTGGTTTTGGATCTTGCTACAGAGCGTAACAAAGATAAAATTTCATCTTTATCATCTCCAATGCCATTGTGAGTTGCTTTAAGCCATCTCTCCCATGCCTGCTCTCGATGGAAATCACAAAGGTAGACAAAGGACTCTTAAAAAATAAAATAAAAATGTATGATGTGTTTGAGATAACATACATGTGCCACCTACATGAACATGTAATGATATAAATTTCATTGGAAGTTCCGACAAGGACCTTAATAAATGTCTTGACTTTTCAATTCAAAGAGTATATATGAAGCAAATTTAAAAAAAAAAGAAAATGATCTGCTCAGAGCATACTTGTAATTAGAAACAGTAAAACAACTGAAAATAGTAGGTACAAAAATATTCATTAAAATACCTGGAAAAACAGATTCAATAGAAGATATTTCTTCATCTGCATAGTCACACATAAAATATGCTGGCTTCCAGTTTGGGTTCCATGATTTTATAATAGATAAGGCTTCTTGGATGGATACACTGTCCTCTGTTTCAACTATGAATGTAGCAACGGTCATGTAGTTTACATTTGTAGGAACACAAAGGAAATAAAGAGGCAAGGTGTATCTGGTTGTTCTATATGTTGCATCCAGAAGACATATCTCATTTCCATATCTATTTAGCAGTTGTCTTTGCCAAGCAGTCTGATGGACGTACAGGAATTTGTTGACTCCATCACCACTCTTTCTATAATTTCCAATGAACAGGTCTTCATCAACAAATAACCTTTCATCTGGATCACCGCTCACAGGATGTTCTAAATCCATACACAAACAACATGGCATGTCAATTCATTTTGTGTGATTTCTATAGGCCTGGCTATTGGCAGGCAATTTTACATTGCAATATACTGCAATACTTTTTAAATGCATAGTGCATTGTGTGTTGCAATATTTTCAATCTAATTAAAAATAGCTGTACTTAAAAATACAGAAATGAGAGTCATTAAGCTAAATTTTATATGATAGACCTACAGTCTAGTACTATAGCAAATCTTTCTGACATTAATTACATTATATTTTAAATCTAATTCCAGTCAGTGCAATTAGCTAGTAGACTGTCAATCACTTCATATCAATGAGAACTTTATTTTCATTTAAGAACTATTGTGCCAGACTCAGATCACAATAGGGCGCCCGCCGAGTGGGGCCCTTATTATATAAATCAGTGACCACAATTTTGGAAATGTTTTCCTCACTAATAACAAATGAATGTCTTTATTGCGAAAAATAAGGTGTCACAAAATTTTAGTTATCTACAGTAGTGCATTGCAATACAATAAAAAAGAACAACAATACTTCTGAATCAGAATATTGGTATTTTTGCACAGTTCCAATGATTTCATAGAATGATCATTTCGGAAAAACTATTACAATTGAGCGGTGTTAAAATTACCTTGATCTTGATCAGTCTTAATTCTTAAGTAGTATCTGTCTTCTTGATGGATTGACCTCTGTTCCTCAATCATTCCTTGAACCTCTTTCTAATAAAATAAATTAAAAATATTTCATTTCTTCTACATACTTTTAAATATATTTCCAGACATAGTAATAACAATACAATTTCATTTCTTTTTTGCTTAAAAAATAGAATAGGTTGATTAGTATTTATATCTGAGTATTTAAATACAGAAATATGTCTTACTGCATTTAAAGACAAAATGTGGCATGTTGCCTTAATGTGAGCAAAATATCCTTATTATGTACATAAATTTAAGTAATGTTTATGGAAAGACTTTTGACTTTGCCAACAACCTGTTAATGTCTTATATGGTAGACTTGTTGTTAATATGCATGCAGAATCTAATGGACTGTGGGATTAACCATTTATCCTAGGTACATTTTTTTTATTATAGTAAAGCACTTCTTAAGGAGCATTTTACATGTATTGTTCATTTTTCACCATCATACCTGATCAAAACTGCTATCTCGTAGTTTGAGAAACTGAGATGCCATGTGGTTATAAATGTCCTTAAGTGATGGCCAGTATCTCTTGTTGTGTTTAGGTGGAAGTGGAGAATTTAGAAAGATGGATTGCTTCAAAAAGACTTCAATAAGCAGTTTCATTTTCAGAGTGCTTGTGACTCCATGTTCGCTCACAACCTTCTTAATATAATTTGAAATTCTCTTGTCCATTGGCTGCAAAATGCTGGATGCCTGTATTGTTAGGACATTTGTATTAAAGTATATGTTAAAGCATTTTCGTGATTTTGAATTTCAGATAATAAATGTTATAATACAATCTTCAATAAAAAAATATTAATTAAAAAAATGATATAAAATCCATGTACCGCTCCTTTCAAGTGATTCCTATGATCCTCTGCTGGTGGAAACGAGACATAGAACCGAGGTTGACATTCTAATTCACCTGTACCGTCATTTAAATCTTTCTTCACGCTTGGTACAAACTTCCTACTTGGTTGATCTTGATCCTTCACCTTTTGCATAATTTAAAAGAAAATGTGCATCAATTACTTCATAAACCCAAATCTGATACAAAACACATGTACATGCATGTATGTAATTTTGTAACCAATGATCATTATATGTATATTACCTTGAAATTCAAAAATTTCACTACATGACGGATTTTTATCCTTACAGGGCATCCTTTCTTCTTGGTGTTCTGTACTAATCGGCGCTTATGTTTGAAGATATGGTCAGACTATAAAGACAAACTAGATTAGATATGTAGGTTAATTTACATTATAATTATGTAATTTTATGTATACAATGATATATTATATCAAGATATTTCCAAATCCCCAATATTCTGACATAAATGAAAAGTTGTCAATTTTCAATAAATACGATAAAAGAATTTCAATTTGTTAAATCGATTTTCAATAGCTCTTACAAAAGTACTTGATGCAATGGTGTATAAGACTTAAACTAAACTACAAATACTCCATTGTATATATACATGGGGATACTATAATTAGCATACATGCTGGGTAGACGTTTAATATGATATTTCAGAAGAAATAAAAATCAAGCTACATGAATATCTTTTTTTTTTTAATCAGACATATGAATTAACAGAATTGCATGATTAAACATAATTTACTTTAACCATGTCAACATAATTCTTTAAAAGATTCATAATATCACTTACTGCTAGGAATATTTTTATTATGGCCTAATCTTCTTTTTTTTCTTTGATTAGTTTTGCTGTCTCTGTCAAATCCCTGATGACACTCAAGCACTTTCTTGCCCATGATGATAAAAGGAATTCCATCATATCTAATGTAGGGGTCAGCATTGCCTTGGGTATCCCAGAGTCTTACTTGTGGATCACTAACCTTTGAAATTTCTAAAAACAGATTTAATTTTTAAAAAATAAAATATTTTGCTGTTTTCTCTCATAATTGAACTAAATCATTGATTTAAATAATAAATTATAGAATAAAACACATGTACATTCTTGCATTGTTTCAAATATTATATACCAGTAAGCTAGATATCTCTGTAATATTTTGTAATAAAAGATAATTGAAGCTGTGAAACAGATGAATTGTTATACACGTTAAATTATGTAACCATTAAATACATGTGTATAAGCTAACTGGTATACATGATCATCTTCACCTCTGACTTACCAAATATTTTTCCAAACTGCTTTTCACTTTTCAAACACCGAAATCTAGATGATGTTGCATACTCATACTCCTCTAACAATTCATTTAACTTCAAAGATGATGTTACATATCCACAATGAGATGAGAACTTTTCATCAAAAAGAAACTCCCATGGGTAAGAAGAGCTATCACTGCTGATTAAACAAACTATTTTTGAAAATAAATTGATATGGTAACAGTGACAATATGATATAAGGATGTGAATGGGTAATAATCCATAGTTCTACAGTACAGTGATTAGGTTATGTATTGTAGTGACTGGGTTATGTTGTGTAGTGACTGGGATATGTTGTGTAATGACTGGGTTATGTAGTGTAGTGACTGGGATATGTTGTGTAGTGAATGGGATATGTAGTGTAGTGATTTGATTATGTATTGTAGTGACTAGGTTATGTTGTGTAGTGACTGTGATATGTTGTGTAGTGACTGGGTTATGTAGTGTAGTGACTGGGGTGTGTTGTGTAGTGACTGGGTTATGTTGTCTAGTGACTGGGATATGTATTGTAGTGACTGGGTTATGTTGTGTAGTGACTGGGATATGTAGTGTAGTGACTGGGGTGTGTTGTCTAGTGACTGGGATATGTAGTGTAGTGACTGGGGTGTGTTGTGTAGTGACTGGGTTATGTTGTGTAGTGACTGGGATATGTAGTGTAAGGACTGGGATATGTTGTGTAGTGATTGGGTTATGTAGTGTAGTGACTGGGTTATGTTGTGTAGTGACTGGGTTATGTATTGTAGTGACTGGGATATGTGTTGTAGTGACTGGGTTATGTAGTGCAGTGACTGGGATGTGTTGTGTAGTGACTGGATTATGTAGTGTAGTGACTGGGATATGTATTGTAGTGACTGGGATATGTTGTTTAGTGACTGGGATATGTTGTGTAATGACTGGGTATGTTGTGTAGTGAATGGGATGTGTTGTGTAGTGACTGGGTTATGTTGTGTAGTGACTGGGATATGTATTGTAGTGACTGGGTTATGTTGTGTAGTGACTGGGATATGTAGTGTAGTGACTGGGGTGTGTTGTGTAGTGACTGGGTTATGTTGTGTAGTGACTGGGATATGTAGTCTAGTGACTGGGATGTGTTGTGTAGTGACTGGGATATGTAGTGTAGTGACTGGGTTATGTTGTGTAGTGACTGGGTTATGTAGCGTAGTGACTGGGATATGTGTTGTAGTGACTGGGTTATGTAGTGCAGTGACTGGGATGTGTTGTGTAGTGACTGGATTATGTAGTGTAGTGACTGGGATATGTATTGTAGTGACTGGGATATGTTGTGTAGTGACTGGGATATGTTGTGTAATGACTGGGTTATGTAGTGTAGTGACTGGGATATGTATTGTAGTGACTGGGATATGTAGTGTAGTGACTGGATTATGTAGTGTAGTGACTGGGATATGTTGTGTAGTGACTGGGTTACGTTGTGTAGTGACTGGGATATGTATTGTAGTGACTGGGTTATGTTGTGTAGTGACTGGGATATGTAGTGTAGTGACTGGGATGTGTTGTGTAGTGACTGGATTATGTAGTGTAGTGACTGGATTATGTAGTGTAGTGACTGGGATATGTAGTGTAGTGACTGGATTATGTTGTGTAGTGGCTAGGGTATGTTGTGTATTGACTGGGTTATGTTGCCCAGTGACTGGGATGTGTTGTGAAGTGACTGGGATGTGTTGTGAAGTGACTGGGTTATGTTGTGTACTGACTGGGATATGTTGTGTAGTGACTGGGTTATGTTCTATAGTGACTGGATTATGTATTGTAGTGACTGGGTTATGTAGTGCAGTGACTGGGACATGTTGTGTAGTGACTGGGTTATGTTGTGTAGTGACTGGGATATGATGTGTAGTGAATGGGATATGTTGTGTAGTGACTGGATTATGTATTGTAGTGACTAGGTTATGTATTGAAGTGACTGGGATATGTTGTTTAGTGACTGGGATATGTTGTGTAATGAAAGGGATATGTTGTGTAGTGACTGGATTATGTAGTGTAGTGACTTGATTATGTATTGTAGTGACTGGGATATGTATTGTAGTGACTGGGATATGTAGTGTAGTGACTGGGACATGTTGTGTAGTGACTAGGTTATGTTGTGTAGTGACTGGGATATGTTGTGTAGTGAATGGGATATGTTGTGTAGTGACTGAATTATGTATTGTAGTGACTAGGTTATGTATTGAAGTGACTGGGATATGTTGTTTAGTGACTGGGATATGTTGTGTAGTGGCTAGGGTATGTTGTATAGTGACTGGGTTATGTAGTGCAGTGACTGGCTTATGTAGTGTAGTGACTGAGATATGTTGATTAGTGAATGGGATATGTAGTGTAGTGACTTGATTATGTATTGTAGTGACTAGGTTATGTTGTGTAGTGACTGGGATATGTATTGTAGTGACTGGGATATGTAGTGTAGTGACTGGGATGTGTTGTGTAGTGACTGGGATATGTTGTGTAGTGACTGGGTTATGTAGTGTAGTGACTGGGATATGTATTGTAGTGACTGGGTTATGTAGTGTAGTGACTGGGTTATGTTGTGTAGTGACTGGGATATGTAGTGTTTTGACTGGGTTATGTTGCGCAGTGACTGGGGTGTGTTGTGTAGTGACTGGGTTATGTTGTGCAGTGACTGGGATATGTAGTGTAGTGACTGGGTTATGTTGTGTAGTGACTGGATTATGTTGCGCAGTGACTGGGATATGTAGTGTCGTGACTGGGTTATGTTGTGTAGTGACTGGGATATGCAGTGTAGTGACTGTTTTATGTTGTGTTGTGACTGGGTTATGCAGTAAAATGGCTGGGATATGTTGTGTAGTGACTGGATTATGTAGTGTAGTGATTGGGTTATGTAGCGCAGTATCAGGGTAACAGTGTAGTGACCATGTTATGTAGTGTATTGATAGGGGTATTTTTTGTTTTGACCCCATTATGTTGTTGCATAGTGACTGGATTATCAAGTGTTTATATAGGATTTCCCATGATTTGTAGTTGAATATGCTTTTTATTCAACCAATTGTGTGATTTTTATCAACGAGCCTTTACAAAACACACAACGAGTAGGATAAAAATTATATCCAACTACAAATTATAGGTAATTCTTTTTCTCCCTTGTTTCATACATATATAATTATCAATATCTATATGTAATTGTTTCCTTTTTAAATCACTGTAAAACAAAACCCATTGTGACGTCACAACTGTGGGATATGAAAAAAATATCCAATGAGTCATATCCACGGGATAAAGGGGCTAACATGGGATAATAACTGAATATTGATGGTCTGTGATTGTTATGAGCATGATCTGTTGAGGGGGTTTCTAGTTTTTTGTGCAATGGCAGGCTTACTTATTTTATACTTTTAACAATCACAATTACTTATTTTTTTCAGACTTGATTGTTGTTAATTGATGCTCAGTAGTCCTTTTTTTAAAAATGTTAATCAGGTTGGGACCAATCGCCCAAATGGGATATAATAGTCCGTTTGGGATATAATATCCCGAATGGGCTATAAATTAACAGTGCAAAAATGGAAAATTTTCAAATTTCATCAGAAGACTTAAAAAGGAATAACTTTTGGTTGACAAGTTTTCCTGTATGCCCGTTGTTTAGGAGATTGATCCTGTTAACAAGATTGCCGACTCTGTGCATGTATCCAGGTAACGTTAGAGAAATCGTAAGAAAATGAATGCATACATGAAATAATAAGTTCTATACATACCCTCTTTCTTCGTCCATGTGGAAACATCACTATGACTCCATTCAAGTACTTTTCTTATATTTCTTTTCATCAACCATGATATTCGGACTGCTCTACATTTATTTTTCCCGCTAAAATATCATTAAAATGCATCGGGTTCGGCATACAATATATATATAATATATTAACCAAATCGGAAATTATTTTTCCGGATGCGTTGACTGGGTTAAGTTATAGACTCTACCGTTTGTTTATGATTAAAGGAATCCTTGAAAATTGCAAGAACATTTAAGACGGGACTGTTCCATCCTAGCTTTCAGTATAGATCATCTACATGT